GGGGGGGGTCTATGCTTTTAGCGGTTCGTGTAGTTGCAGCTAAATACGGAAACTTGCTCCCATTTAAGGCTACAGATTATCGAATATCTCCTGTTGAAAAAAAAACTACCTGGTTTTAGCTATTGGACTTGAAGAGATTTTGAAGTGGAATCGTTAAATTAACTTTTCACGAATAACCCCAGGGTGCGAATGGTTTCGGCTCAGTTTTCAAGGAATTTATTGAGCTTTTTATGCTCTTTTAAACACAGTTTGGCCTTCAGGTATTTAGAATAATATGCGGCAATTCAATTTATGTAATTTGCAGACATATCTAAGAAAGAAAAATAGGTATTTTTCCAATCCGTTTTCTTTCAAGAACATATTTGAAGTTAATGACGCTAGCAAAGGTGGGAACAATGCATTTTCTTTTAGCTTGTGGTCTTCATATATATATGTATCATGCTGATCTCGTCGGCTGTTTTACTTTTTTTTGTTAATTATTATTCTCACAGACATAGATCATTTAGGAGGCAGGTAGAACATCCTCAACGGAACGATTGGAACACAGTGCCACCACAGAATGACGGAGATACATGGTGTAATAAGCTTCCTCACATGAGAATTGAACTCATGTCTTTTGTTTGCACGGCTGTACGACTAATCATGTAGTGGCGGATCAGAGAAGCATACAAGCGCGTATATTGTTCAGAATCTAGAGCACAAAAGAAAACATAGACACATTTTTTAAAAACCTGAACACACAAGCCAATAATATCAATTTTGAAAGAAAAGCCTGAAGCAGAGTCAAGACTGATTAGACTGATTAGTGCAAGAAACAATTTGAAGTCGAAGTAGTTACATAAACTGAAGTACTTATTTTCCATGATGATTTGTAGGGAATACTCAACTCGAGGTGAAATTGTTTTGTACATCATTGGGATGGTTGTTTTAGCATGCAAACATACTTAGAAGATGACTGAAATAACAATATTAGGTTCGGTTTTACAAGCATTTGGACCAACGGTATGGTTTTTGAGACATTTAAAATGACCAAACAAAACGTTAAGCATTCATATATCTTAAAAACTAATGACGTTTACTTTATCAAATACACTACATTGCACCCATTCCGCGTTTCACACACATCGAATAATGAACAGGAATTCATGATCTTAATAATTATATTAGTAATAGCATTAATAATATGGATAATGATATTGGTAAAAATGATAATGATAATGATAATGATAATGATAATAATAATAATGATGATGATAACAGTAATAATAAAATAGTTTTCCTTTTTTATTTATTTATTTTTGTAAACGCTGATTGTAACATCTAAGCTTAAAATATATTGGCCGGGGTCGAGGCCCTCTTTGTAGAGAGTGAACCAACTTGTAATATTCTGGTATAATGCAGCCTACATACTCAACCTTTCATCTATTTTTAGCGCAACTAATGCAAATACCGACTTCACTCTGATCAGCTAGAATCCCCCGGAAACCCTTGAAAAGTACATTCTCTTGTTGACGATAACAATTATAACAGTAATGATAATAATAAGTGAAATGATGATGATGATGATGATGATGATGATGATGATGATGATGATGATGATGATAGTAGTGATAGTAATAATGCATTTACAAAGCGCTCCATCGCATACAGGTACACGTGTAACCTCTGAGCTCTTCCACAACAAACAAGTAGGTCACTAACTTAATAACGGACAAAAATCAACCTGGAGTTGATGATGTTCTTTCAATGTTTGATTTCTTAATTTAAAAAATGAAACAAAAGTTTGCAAGAAATTTCCCTATAGCATTCCAGTTTGTGGAAAGAAGAATTTCATGGGTGGGGGGAGGGGGGTGGGTTCTCTAAGCTTTCACGGTTAGAGAAATATATATATATACATGTTAAAATATTAAGTTGCCGTGACTATACAGGAATTCGAAATATGATTTTCGTTCAAATATTGCACGTAGAGTACTATTCCATATTTGTGTATAAATTGCAGCAGGTGAAACAGGTTATTTTTCCCAAGCCTACTATGCTATCGTCCACCGCAAAACCAAAGCTGTGCTCTGCCCGCACTGTTGAACAGCTGCATATTATTTTCTTTGAACAGTAGTAGTAGAGACCACTTACGTAACTCGACGTGACATCAGACCTCTAGGCTTGTAGCTCCCACCATCCGCTGAGATAAATAAAAGTCCCCGAGTTGTATAACAAACCCTCTAGCTTAACAACCGAGGCCAGATTGTGGGTCATGGTAATCTTAGGCCTACTTCTTTCAGCCCTTTGTAGCAATGTTTGAGAAGCTCTCCTTTCTTGTACTCAGCAACCTTTTATGACAGGTTATTCCTTCAATAGGGATGGATCAGAACGTAAATTGAGAATTGCATGTCTATATAAAAGAGTACAGTAACAGTGGCTATAACAGTACTTTCGCCTCCACAAAAAACTCTTTCGAGTAATTTCAAGAAGGGAAAAGTAAAATCATGATTTGTTTATAGATAGATGATCAACATAATTTTCTCCCCTTTTTAAATCCATATGCAGATTCCCACTTAATAAGCGTTCGACATTTTGATTTGGTAATTATATGAGCGTTAAAATAGTTCACCATTAGGCCTATTGCAAAAGAGCCACAAAAGAAAGCACACAATTTTAGCCATAGAACCTTCGGTCAAAGCATAAACGATGACCCAAAGGAAGATTAGTATTCACAGGTTTTTGCTCACAATCTCTATCCATGATGCAATTCATAAGCACAGTATTAGGTTCTGGTTCAATATCTTATTAGACTAGGTTAATTTTTGACAGGTTCTACGTTAGAATATGTCTCCTCTCCTTTACACGACAACAGTCCTACCTAAAATAATGTATTGAAACATCTCACTCAAAATCTGAGTGCATTACATGTATTACAAAGAACAGTTTGTACTTTAAAAATGCACATGCACATAACAGGAAAATGACGATTTTATTGGGGTCAATAAAGAACAAACCTTTGGTAACACAACCACAGCATACATCAACTGAAAAACAAATATCTACATAAGGCAAGTAAAATTGACAGACACGGAAAATAGCGGAGTTTATACGTGTTTACGCTCAGTTTGAACATTCAAGAAACACGTAGAGGAAGAGGGTAGGTAACGGGTGGGGATGTCTAAAGGGTCAACGATATAAACAAATTGACAACAGATACCAGAATAATAATATGCAGAACAAACGTTCAATATCAGTCCGTATTCTTAATTAAGATAGGTTGCAAACAGCACCCATGCTTTCATTGAAACAAACATCAAAGTAATGGCTCCAGATTCAACATGACAGCAATGATACACGTAATACGTTATAATAATGTTTCAATGCCAGAACACTTGCACACTATTTCGCGCCTTGTGTCGTGTTTCCCAAGTCTTTGATTTATCTAGCAAAGTTTGCTGTTTATGTGTGGGTGTCATTATAATTACTAGAAGTTAGAAGGAAATATACCTCAACACCATAGTCAGGGCCTTCCGCCGCTTGAGAGAAACTTTCCCGGTATCCGACAAGTTGTTCCAGACGTTTTTTAACCTGTATGTATGATCCAACTGATCATCATCGAACTCAGAGTGTTGAATAACGGGGGTGGGGTCCAAGTTTAGAATATCACGGATTCTTTTTGCGCCATATGATTTTGACACTGATAAAACGTTTGAATTTTCATTGAGGTCAGATGAGTACGACAAAGGCCGCACTTTGCTACCTGTATTTTCTGTGTAGCACGACATCGAAGAAAGGGCTAACGTGTTGGTGCCTGGGTCCCTGACGCCGTCGTAATCTGATCAGCATGGAGGGATACTTCAGTTCTTTCTTCCCTCTGACAGTTTTTACGACGATAGCAACGCCTGTCAATTGAAGGACCAGACCTGAGGATCCAGACCTGACGACTGTTTTTTTTCTACTATTGGTCAACTACAACAACCCCACATTTCTAGAGCTGCACTTTCTGAGCCATACACCGACATTCCTTAACATAGGGAACTCTCCTCCTCTCCAGCCTCACCCGCCCGTTCCTCGAGCGACACCTCAGCTGGACAGATATGTGCTGGACATCACGTGGTCTGCAGAAGCCACAAGAGACAAAGGAAGGATCACCGTCGCCCGTTCCTCGAGCCTCAGGAATGTAAACAGAAATACACGTTCCGTAACAGAAGTTGTTCATGATAGATTTGGCCGAGCAACCCTCGACTCGAATCTCCTGCTGCATCGGTTGGGTCTTGCAACGTTCCTTTAGCGGCGGGAAATTCACCTGCTCGGCAATGACGATCTTTTTGTTCTTTGACTTTTTGCGACCTTTCCTCCTTCTCGAAGAGTCTTTTCCTCTGCCAGACCCGCTCTGTGTTCCGCGGCTGCTGCCCTTGTCGCTGTTCGCGCTTAGCCGCTGAAACACCAGTTTGGAGATTCCTCTGAGCTTCTTCCTCCGTTTGGCATCTCTATCCCTGTTGCTGTATCTGCTATTGGATTTTCGACGAGAATCACGTCGGTTCTTTCTCCGACGTCTTCGTCGTCGTCGTTTCTCGAGTTGACGGCGCCTTTGTTGTCGTTGGGAAAGAGACGAGCTCTTCCTGGACAAACTGCTGTCTGTCCTCGACGTACCATCGACGTCATTGCCACTACTTGTCAGTCCTTTGGGCAGCTGCAACCCACCATGGCTCGATTTCTGAGACGAAAACGGAATACGTTTGGCGCCTCGTTCGTTGTTGGTGCGGTCTGGCTGTGACGTCAGTGACTGGAAAGTCCGTTTGCTGTTGCTGAGAACGATCGCACTGCGGAGGCCCGAGAGGCTGGTTGTGGCCTCTGGGAGTTGGACGACAGCCGACGCTGAAGTGTTTAAACGCGTCACTTTGTATTTGAGTTGAAGTCTGTAGCCCTGTGGGTTATTGTTGTTGTTATTTTTGTTAATGATATTGCCGTTGCTGATGCTCTGTGGCTGTCTCTGGGCCACATGGACTCGCTTGGCGTCAATGGAGACGAGAGAAACTGTCGCGATGAACGTGACGGCGAGGGTGAGTGACGTCCGCAAAGACACCATGTTGTGAACGTGTAGCTCAGACTGGGACATTCTGAAAAGAAAGAAAAATAGAAAAGTCAAAATTAAAATAGAAAAGTTACATGTAATATTAATCAAAATTAAAATTGAAAATCAAAAAAACAAAAAAGTTAAAATATGGACAGAACAATCAAAACAAACAATAGAAAAATAGATGTGAAGCGGGTATTTTAAAAATTTTTATAGTAGAGTGTTTTACGGCGCTCGCAACTGCATAGGTCATATGAGCGCGCGGGACACGCCTAATATTTTCATTTGGTAGGAAATTTTGAATTTTGCCCGGGTGGCGGCCGAAGCCTACTCTAATCGATTTTAGACCACGAAGGGATCTTAAACGTGGGCAACTTGCACACGGACCCTCCGAGATTTTTCGCCCTGTCCGAGACGGCTAGGTGTAGATCTTTCCTACCAGAAGATCAGGGGTGTGGCTGAAAGACTGCAGTAAGAAGAAGCGAAGGAGTAGCAGTAGAAAGGCTGCAGAAAGAATCAGGAGCCCAGAGGAAGGGGCAAAGGAGGTGACGGGGTGAGGGCAGAAAGTGGAGACGAAAGCAGACGACAGAACATTGCTAGAGAGCAGGAAATGAGGTGAAAGGAGACAAATTTTAGAGAAGAAAATTTTTCGGTCGCTACCCGGATTCGAACCCGGGACCTTTTGAGTGAGAGGCCAACACCTTAACCTCTTGGCCACGAGAGCCCCCCTGAAGCGGGTATTACGTTTATAATGAATTGTGAGGTAGACACGTACGTGTGTGTTATTATACACTAGATCAGGCATGGGAGAGCGTGTCCAAGTCGTGGGCCGGATTAAGCGTTTCCGAATGTCTTCCGCTTCAAAGCAGAAGAAAATTGAGTGAAATTGGTTGAAATACCCAAGCTCTCAAAAGTGAGACTTAAACTTAAACTATGGCATTGTCACTCATGGGCATATTATGACATTAAATCTTAGATCAATAATAATTGTTTTCAACTGGGACGGAACCTAGTAATTTAAATTTTCAGGATGGACAGTTTTTTTTTTTTTTATTAAACATTTTTAATTCACAGAGGTCAACATTCATTATCAAATACTAAATCGACTCGCGAGTCAGACAGAAACTTCTCGCAGGCCGGAGCTGGCACGCAGGTCTCAGTTTTCCCGTGCCTCGTCACCAGGGCAAGTGGGGAGCTGCAGATTCTACTTTGTAATCTGTACCATAAACAGCGGTCTTAGTCTATTACTATTATTATTTGGAATCAAAACACTGAGCAGGGGAGAAAGTCGTGGTGCACAAGCAGCATAAAATACGATTTCCACATTGAGTTTTAAGTAACAGCTCTATTTTCGGTACTTTTATAACCTATTTCCAAACATTTCCATGGACACAAACAGACAGCCTATCACCTCAATATTCATACCAACATGTTATTAGTGCCAGACCTGGACTTTAAGCAAAACCCATGAAAGCAAAATCAGCGCATGCGAAATGAAATGTCTCCGCAAAACCCTTAACATCACAAGACGAGACAGGCAGAGAAATGAAGAAGCAAGAGCAGCTATCGGCACTGAGTCCTGCTTGCGTTACATAGAAAGACAGAGGATAAAAAGGTTTGGCCACCTGTTACGCATGTCACCTGAACAGCCAGCCTTGAGAGCCTACAACACCAAGCACTCAGGCTATAAAGGAAGAGGAAGGCCACGCAGAAGGTGGATCGAGGGTGTCAAGGAAGCCCTAAGAAAACATAACATCACAACTGAAAGAGCTGCGGAGCTGGCCTACCATAGAACACTGCATCTCCCCTCGACGCTTAACGGCAACAGAGGATGAAAAAGTAAAAGTAAAGTAAGTATAACCTATTTGTGTTACAAGTGCCAAAAACTGTTTCTAAAACTAAAAACTAAACAGCTCTCATAATAAAGGCGTGGCGTGATGTAATAATATGGGGAAAACGGTTCCTTTCAGCCCGGGAAGATTATTTTAAAGGCAGATTATGCGATTTGACACGTATCTTATAAGAATGAAGGCTGTGTGCGCGTGTGGATTGGGGAAGAGGGGAGCTAAAGGTTTTCCAAGCACCTCAAATTCAAGATAATTCTGTTAAAGATTCGAACCAGCGCTGTCAACTTTGTAATTCTGCATGATACCCACTGAGCCAACGGTTTGTGTGTCAGTGTCTCAAGTGTCTCTATATGCCGCTGATGAAAGCGTGTGTCTTTATAAACCTTCAGACAAATAAAAACTATCCATGATAGAATTTCACGAACGTATACATAAGCCTTCACATATTCCTCGGCCACAGTGGACCCCTGTCTGTCGTCTCACATTCACACAGTGAAGGACGCTCAACCATACATCCATTTCCACGTCTCTCTCTCTCTCTCTCTCTCTCTCTCTC